TTTGATTAACGTTGGTCACTGTTATTTGAACATTAGGAAAATGCTTCCTACAAGCACGTTCACAAAAATGATTCTTGAAGTAACCCTGTGAAGTAGATAAGACACACATTATTGTCCCATTTTACGGTTGGAGACACAGAAGCTCAGAGAACTTAAATGATTTTGCTGTGTTCCTAGAGCTTGTAAATGGCAGAGCTGGGTTTCAAAGCCAAGTCATTGGCCTCCCGATGCCATCTCCCTGTCACCCCCCCAAATCACAATGCTGACCGTGAAAATGTTGGGATGCCTAAGGACAGTCTTCCAGAACAACACAGGCTCTTCATGTCAACCATGAATAGTCTAGACCAACACTGTCCAATAGAAATACAATGCAAACCACAAACGTAACGTTAAATTTTCTAGTAGTTGTATAAAAAAGCAAAAAAAGGGCTGGCCCCGTGGCCAAGTGGTTAAGTTCGCACGTTCTGCTTCGGCGGCCCAGGGTTTCGCTGGTTCAGATCCTGGGCGCAGACATGGCACTGCTCACCAAGCTAAGCTGAGGTGGCGTCCCACATGCCACAACCAGAAGGACTTACAACTAAAAATGCACAACTTGTACCGAGGGGCTTTGGGGAGAAAAAGGAAAAATAAAATCTTTAAAAAAGCAAAAAAAAAAAAAAAAACCCTGAAATTGATTTTAATATATTTTATTTAACCTAATAGATCCAAAATATTATCATTTCAACATGTAAATCAATATACAAAACTAAGAAGTATTTTATAGTCTTTTTTTCACAGTAAGTCTTCCAAATCTGGTGTGTATTTTACGCTTATAGCACACCTCAGTTCAGACCAGCCACCTTTCAAGTGCTCAACAGCCACGTAAGACCAACTGGCAGGCTTGTTTTGGACAGTGCAGGACTAGAGGCGGGTTAAGCATACATTTAGGGCTCCAGAAAAGCAGGAGCGTGAAATAGAGGGGCAGAGGGAAGAGAGAGAGAGAGATTTTGCTTCAATGAATTTAACCAGAACCTTGCAAATTAGTCAAGAAAGAAGAAATTTAAATTGAGTGTACATATTCTGTGGTTTAGTATTGCTTTTATTTTGAATTACAGTAGGATGGGGATGAGACACTCTAATCTTGTCCTTGATTAGAAGACAGCTGAAGTCTTAATGCGGTCCTGGGGACAACGCCAATTGCAGAATAGATGACCTGAGATGTGGCAACAGTACCCACTCGAGCTTGTTTAATCAGAAAAGGAATTTATTAAAGGATTTTAGGGAGCTCATGGAATCTCCAGGAGACCACAGGAGCCAGCCACCCTAAACGTTGCGCAAATTGCAGTTTCAGGCTTTCCAATAGGGGCTCTGTTGCAGCCATGTCTGGACCAGGGCACCTCCAAGACTACCATCCTGGCTGACCACAAGGACGCTGACCACCGCCTCCTTCCTAAATGGAGTGTGTGGCTATGTCCTAGCCATAGAACCTGGGTCACACAGCAGCAAGGGAGTCTAGGAGAGCAATTTGCTGGCTCCTTTGCCAGGAGGTGAGACTCACAAGGGGAAATTGCCTCAAAGTAAAGCTGTGCAAATGGGTTTCCTCAAGCGTGGCACGTATCCCCTACAATAAGTTTAGTTAACATCCATCACCACACATGCTTACAGTTGTTTTGGTAATGAGAAGTTTTAAGGTTTTCCCTCTTAGCAACTTTCAATGTTTGTTTGGTTTTTATTAAACTAATTTTGAGATTATGTAGATTCATGTGTGCCATTCATCCAGTTTCCCCCATTGGTAAATTTTGCAGAACTAGAGAACAGTATCGCCAGCAGGATACTGACATTGAGACAGTCCACAGGTCTCATTCAGATTTACCCAGTTTTACCTGTGCTCCATGGTGTGTGTGTGGGGGGGGGGGGGTATTTAGTTCTATACAATTTTATCACATGTGTAGGTTCATGTATCAACTACTACAGTTACGGAGCAGTTCCACCACCACAAGGATTTCTCATGTTGTCCTTACAAAGTCCTAAGTCCTGATAACCACTAATCTTTTCTCCGTTTTTATGATTTAGTCCTTTCAGGAACGTTACATAAATGGAATCATATAATACACAACTTTTGGGATTGCTTTTCTTACTCGGCATAGTTCTCTAGAGATTCTTCCAACTTGTTGCTTGCTTACCTAATGGTTTTAACATACGGGTTTGCATTCTTCAAAAAAATATTGTTTACTTTGATCTGTTTTTAAAAATAATGTGAGTCTTATAGTACAATTCTTCTGTAACTTGCTTTTTGCACGCAACAATAAGTTTTTGAGATTTCCCTTTGTTAATGTGTGTGGCTGTGGCACTTATCACTGTATGTTAACCCCATCAGTTATTGATGGGCATTCGGGTTGTGTTCAGGTTTTTATTTTTTGAGTATGATGAATGATGCTACTATGAATATCCTTGCCTGTGACTCTTGGTGCCAAAGTTCTAGACATTTTCTAGATTACAAAACTTGGAGCAGAATTTCTGGCTCATTTAATATGTGTATGTTCAATTTTACTAGATAAAGTCAAATTCTTTTCCAAAATGTTTGAATGAATCTATATGCCCATTAGCAATGTACAAACAGTCTCATTGTTCCATATCTTCAACAACACTTAATATTGTCAAACTTGTAAATTTTGCTAGTCCAGTAAACATGAATAGTATTTCATTGTCATTTTAATTTGCATTTTCCTGTTTACTAATGAGATTGAGCATCCTGTTAAGTGTTGATAGGCCATTCTTGTTTCCTCTTCTGGGAAACACCTCTTCATGTTTTTTGCCACTTTTTTTTTTGTTTCTCTTTTTCTTTTTCATTCATAAGAGTTCTTTATATATTCTGGATTCTAATCATTTGTAGGATAAATGTGTTTCAAAATGTTCTCTCAGTTTGTTGTTTGGCTCATCATTCCCCTTAACGTGTCTTTTTAATGTCTTCCAACAAAAGTTTTCTAATTTTATCTGCAAAGACTTTCAACAATATTTTAAAAAATTTATTTAAAGGCACTTTCTGTTTTGGTTGCTGTTCTGTTTTTTCATTAGACTGCTATAATTTTTCTGTTACTGATATGTAGAAACACAACTGACACACACACCCACCCACCCAATCACACACATACATTTTCTACAAAACAATCTTGCTGTTTTATTAATTCTTTAATTAATCTGTAGATTCTCTTGAGTTTTCCATATAGACAATCATTCTGACTACAAATAATGATAGTTTTGTTTTTTCCTTTATAGTCCTTATACTTTTATTTCTTCTTTTTTGTCTTATGTACCCGCAGGGAAGCCTGTCTAAAGTTGAATGGAGTATGAGAGCAGGCAGCTTTGTCTTGTTCTGGAGGGCTGTCTCCACAGGTGAATTCAGTTTGTGAGAGTTTATCTAGCTGGGTACTTATGATTTGTGCATTTGTTTCCAACACTATATTATACTTCAGTGAAAAGTACAAAAAAAAAGATTTTTTAAAAGGACTATTTCCCCAACATCCTAACCTCTCCTTGTAACTATATGCTGTGAAGATGCCACTGAGCAGGTTTGTACCCGTCTATTTTCAACTGACTATACATTACTGGAGAAAAGAAGTCCTATGCGAGAACACCAATGGCTCTTTTCATGCATTTGAAGAACCACTGGGGAGAGGGGGTGCAGGCAGTGTCAGCAGCCCCTGAGGGCAGAATGTGGACGCGAGAAGGGATGCAGGGAAACAGATTTCCATAAAGCAGAAGGAAAAGCTTCCTAACATCATGGTTGTTTAACCGGAGAATAGGCAGCTTTCTGAAAAAGTGAGCTCCCCAGCACTGGAAGTATTCAAGCAGGGCTGGGTACACACTTACCAAGACGCAATGCAGGGCCACCCTCCCCGTAATATGGGGTGGGGTGTGGACCATATCCTGTCTTCTGTCTCTTCCGACTCTTTAAGCTTTGAGATTTTTAAAGAATTGGGGTCATTTCTTATCCTACTTTTAGAGAAGCTCTATCAACTCCTCTCATAATCCTTAGAAAACTGACCTCACAATAGAGAAAAATCAACAAAGGTAAAACTAATTCTTTGAAATTATTAATAATATTGATAAGCCTCTCTCAAGTCTGATGAAGAGAAAAAGAAACATGACAGATTAGAATTCCTTTCTCCCAAAGAAACATCCATCCAATATCACAGCAGGCGTGCATCTAACAGTCACTGAACAGCAGCGTGTCCCCTCTGGCTCTCCCCCTCCACCCCACCCCACCCCCGCCCCGAAACGGTTGCGTTGCCTTTTGCAGTTTCTAGCCATAAATCCTATCATTCTGTAACTTTTTCAGATAATCGGCAAAGTGGTCCAGGCACGCACTGATTTGAAATCCAGTGAAAGAAAGAAAGAAAAAAGCTCCGTTAATGGAGTAGACTGCCTTTTTGGTAAAATAAGGAATTTTGAATGAAGTTTGAAAGAGTTTTATGAGATGGGGATAATAATTCTGTGATTTCATAGTTTGACTTTATTTTTACTTTCATTCAACCAAGCTCCTTCTCTCTGGGAAATCTCCAGTTTGTTGGGAGATAAAAATACCTTCGCAGAATCTCCCAAGAGCTGCGCCATCAGCCTCACAGACCAGAAACAAGGCTCGTTTCCCTGTGCCGCGATGAAAATGTCTTCCTCCTGCTCCTGCCCAGGCTCACTTGGCTCCAAGTCTTTTTCATTCTTACTTGGTTGTCCTCAGGGAAAATCTGGAGCCCTGACAAGGTTGAGCCCAGAGAGGGTGACCCCTTGAGGGCAGGCCGGGAGGCAGGACGCGTCTGTTCCCTCCGGAGTCCCGGCAGAGCTGCGCCCCCTCTCCGTGCGCCGGGAGAGTACTCCAGCCAAGCCGCGAAATCCGTTACCAGGCTGCCGTGTCCCCAAGGGCCATTCGAAGGCGGAAGAGGACGGGGAAAACCGCTGTGTTGATTCCCCGGCCTTGTGGGCTGGGCGCGCAGCCGGTCAGGTTACAGACAGGTGAGTCTGGCTGATCAGCGAGCTGCTGAAGCCAACGCACCCCCGGCCAGACGCGGCCTCGCAGCCCCCGGAGCTGGCGCACGTCTCATCACCCCCCGAAGGCGGGTGCCCGCCGCGGCCCTGGAGCTAGTGCTGTGCGTCCCTAGGCGCACGCGAGCAGGGGCCGTGGAGGGGCAGCGCGCCCCCCAACGCGGGCACAGCCGCTCTTAGAAATTTGGCGTCTTTCTTTTACCGTCTCCCCTTCTTTCCCTCCCTCCCCCCTCCAGGTATAAAGGTAGATAGGAAAAACCAAAACACAAATAAATACAAAGTTCTCCAGCCACCTCCCCAGCAGGGGCAGCAAGGGGATGTAGCCCATCTTCACTTTACTGGCTTCCTGGAAAGGTATTTCCCAGTCTCAGAATTTGGGGAGCGGGCGGTTAGAGGAGGCAATAATGGGAGTGGCGAGGATAAAAAATGTGTTTGGAAGCTGCGTTTGCTAACATGCGCTTGGCTTTTGTTTCCATTGTGTGTTTATTTGCGGTGAGGGTGCTCTTGGGGTGCAAGGTCTTGGGGTGGGAGCTGGTTTGGCGGAGCAAGCTGACGTTTTTCTTAGATTGTATGGCACAAATCTGTGAAATAACGTGTTCTAAAGATGCTGAATTTTTAAATTTATTATTACTATGTTTATTTGGGGGACTGTTGTAGATGATGGGGGCCCCCAAGTTCCCCTTTTCCAGAGTCCTGAAGAATCTCCCCGCCGCCTCCCCCTCCGCTCGCCGAGATTTCAACGAGCCGCGGGAATGATCCACAAGGTGCAGAGGAACTGAGCCATTTTCAGGCTTGCTTGTCGGAGACAAATCCACTGGGGGGAGGGGGGGCGGGGGCAGCTCTCAGGAGGCCCCAACTCTTGAGAGGGATGCCCTGGGAAGCGGTCCTGGGGTTTACCTAAAAGAGTTCGCCCTGAGGTGCCTGTGATGGGGGAATGGGGAAAGGGGGTTGATTAACAAACGTTCTTCCCTTTTTAAAAAGGGGAGGGGGGGAGAATCAGACGTTAAATTCTTTTGCAAACATTCATGCCTAAGGAAGGGCTGGAACAGGCAGCCCTGGCCGCCGGAACCGGTCGGACAGGTAGCGAGCTTGTTGACACCGTTATGTTGCAGGGCGCATGCTCACTCCCAAGTTTCCTGGTGCCTTTTCTATTCCACCTTATGAAACTTTTTCCTCGGCGTGGTCTCACCCGCGATTTAAGGCATAGGTGTCGCCGAGCAGGGCGGCTGGGAGTCGCCGGGCGTGCGGGGGAGAGGCCTGGGCCGCGCCGCGGCGGGGGGCGGAGGGAGAGGGCAGGCGAGGCGGGAAGGTGGGCTCTGGCCGCCTGGAGCCGGAGACCGAGCCACTGCCGCCGTCCCTAGCGGGGAGCAGCCAAGTGGAGGGGGCCGAAGTCGGGGAGGGGGTCCCACCATGCCCAAAGTCTTCCTGGTGAAGAGGAGGAGCCTGGGGGTCTCGGTCCGCAGCTGGGATGAGCTCCCGGATGAGGAAAGGGCAGACACCTACATCCCAGGTGAGCGCCGCGCGGGGGCCGGGCCTGGGCGCGGGGCTCCCAAGGTGGGGGCAGGGCTGGCCAGGTCCCCTCTGCTCATCGGCAGGGGCTGGACTCCCCACCCCCTTCAGCGGGGAGGAGAAGGTCTCTGAGGTGCGAGAGGATCAAGACTAAGAGGCTGGGAAACCAGGGACGCCTTGCGCCCCCTTCCCCCTAGTGGGCGCCTCTAATTGCCCGGCGGCGGGACCGTTGGCTCAGCGCGGGCCGAGGTGGCCCAGGAGGGGTTGGGGGGGATTGAAGGCCATTAGGGGCTACCAGCAGTCCCATGTCCTCACAGGGTTGCACAAGGATCCGTCAACCCCTTTGGGGTTAGGTGGATAGAGGTCAGACCCTCCTACCCCCATTCCAGGGAGAGGAAACTTGGCGCGCGTGGTCTCCCGCCGCTCATGGCCTTCGGTTCCTCGTGGCCGCGAGAACTGGGACCAAGGAGCGGCCCCCAGAACCCTGAGCTGGTTCGGGAGGCCAAGCCGGGGGCTTGCTTGCCCACCCCCGCGGCTTTGCCCACTTGGCGAAGTGCCCAGGTCCGGGGCGGGGCGGCTGCGGCACCGCCCGCAGGTCAAACTGCCGCGGGCGCCGGAGCCTGACGCCGCGTGTCTGTGTGTCGGGGCGCGGCCCCTCCCTCCGCAGTGGGCCTGGGCAGTCTGCTCCACGACCCCCCGGAGGACTGCCGCAGCGACGGCGGTAGCAGCAGCGGCGGCGGCAGCAGCAGCAGCAGCAGCGCGGGGGAGCCCGGAGGCGCCGAGAGCAGCTTGTCCCCGCGCGCCCCCGAGCGCGAAACCCCCGAACCCCGCGACGCCGACGGCCCAGGTGGACACCTGGCGGCGAAGCAGCGCCCGGTCGCCAGGTCGAAAATCAAGGTACAGTGTCGACTCTACCCTCGCCGCCACCTGCACCACGCCCTGGCGTCAGGCTCCCGGTGTCCGCGCCCCTCCCTGCCGCGCCCGCCCGCGCGCCGGGCACCAGTGCACGGAGCGCGCCCGCCGCGCAGCTCCTGCACCTGCCCCTGGGCGGCGGCCAGGGCGCCTCCGCGCGTCCTCCCGCCTGCCGGGTAGCCAGACGCCCGCGCCCCTGCGCCCCGAGGCCGGCTTCTCGAGCGGGCATAGTCTTCCGAGGTGGCTTCAGGAACTGCCTAAAAGATTCAGGCGCAGCTTCCTCCCTCCAGCAGCTCATTCTGTGCTCAAGGCCCAAGGAATAACCAGGCCGTCGGGGTTCCCAGTTCAGAAAGGAGGGACCCAGGTTCCCAGCTTCCACCTTCGGGGTGCGTTTCCTAGCGGTATGTGAATTCTGAGAGTTTCACACCCTTCCTTGCGTTCTGGAAACGGTGGTGGTAGTTAGCACACAGTAGGCCTCTCACAACAACAGCTATTCCCAGTGCCAATTATGGCGTGCGTATCCGTTAGACAGGAGGTCTGTGCTGGGCGCTTTAAATCTGTCATGTCTCTCAAGTCTTCTTGAATTAAATTGATGGACAAACGGGTTCAACTGCATACTGCCTCAGTGACCTGCCCCCAGTCGGTTGGAGTGTTTGTGCTCGTCCATCACGGCGCTTCACACGCCCACCGCCACCCCGTCTTCTAGAGCTGTAAGAGACCGATTATCGGGACGCCCATCTGCCCTTTCCTGGTAGAACTTCCATGATTGCTCAAAAGTATCCGTTGCCCGCTCAGATTGAGGAATCCCATTCCACCGACTCCCAGCCAGCTGGGACCTGGGAGTGGCGGTTTAGGAGTCACCTGACCCCAGTTGCGAGCCGGCTGGGCCACAGTGTGACGCTTTGCGGGCTCCAGGTCCTCAGTGTAGGTAATAATTCTTGGGCGCCCCGGGACGGTCCCGCAGCCCCGCTATCCAGGCCGGTGGGGGCGATGGGGAGGAGGAACCCAGCGTTTGCTGTGGAGTGGCAAAGCCCCCGTTAGTTTTCCTGGGAGAGGCCATCCCTCCCCTCTGCATATTCCTGGCTCCCGGGGCTTGGCTCGGGGGTGGGCTGAGGTGCATTTGGTTATGAATTGAGGCTGGAGGCTTGAGCTGGAATCCTTAGGAAAGATAGCTTCACTAGGGGCCGGCCTGCTGCTTGGTGTTAAGATCAGCGGCCTGGGGCCTTTCTGGGCCACAAGGGGTTAAGTGGGAGGGCAGTTTGCCTGTGACTGGTGGCTCTGCCCTTCAGGAAATTCTACAAAGTGTCTCACTTGCATATTTATCACCAGGCTGTAAAGACAATTGCAATGTTGTTTTGGGATTGACTGTAGCCAGTTTGCCCCTCTGTCCCCCAATTGCCCAGGTGACCCTGGAGAGAAAAGTGGCAGAGGAAAAATATCCAATCCCTTGACCAACATTTTAGGAGATGTCTGTTTGCTGCTCCGGGCAAAACAGTGCCATTGGAGCCCTGGATTAAGGAGATGAATAAACCAATCTTGTTTCCATGATCATTGCCTAAATACTGCCCCCAGGGGTGGGGGTGGGGCACAGAATTTGCTCCTCGACCATTAATTTAGCTTCCAGGATGTTCAGGTTCCTTCTCTCTCTCAGCTCCTCACAGATAGGGGACATCTTGGTGTTAAGACGCTCCAGGCCTCCCGAATTATTGGCCATGGTGTTGGCCGTTTTCAAGTGGCTGGCTGAATTGTTGTGTGTGTAACTCTGGAATTTTGTGCAAAGCTGCTGAACTCTAGGAATTAGCTTTTTATCCAGAAGAAGAGGGAAGCCGCTCAAGGATGAGGCACAAACATGATGCATTGTTTTAATGACAGTTTGAATGACTTGAAGACACTCCCCAGGCAGTTGGCTCTTAGGACCAGAGGAAGGGCAGGTTTCAGCCAGTGCCCTGCAGAGAGAGGCCACATCCCGTTTAACTTGTGGAGTGCCTGCCGTGGAGGAGGCAGCCAGCAAATAAAACTGTTCCCATCTTTGTTTCAGAATCATCTGATAGTCACAGTTAAGCCTCTAGGCTCCAACATTGTTAGTTCTTCCTTGTGTGACCTTGGGCAAGTTGCTTATCCCTCTGAACCTCAGTTTGCTTGTCTGTAAAATGGAGGTAATAATGATACTCACCTCATAGAATTATGAGGATAAATGCGTTAAGAGTAGAAAACAGTAGGTGCCCAGTAACTCCAGCTGTAATTATTTGGATTGGTGGACAGACACAAATATTAATTATTAACTCTATTATAGGAAAGTGAACGCTAAACCAGAAGCACAAGCAAAGATGTGATCAATTCTGGGCAGGGGAAGGTTTCTCAGTGTGGATTTGAGGGCTGTGGAGGAGGGCGAGAGGCCGGCTTTAGGGTGGTATAAGCTGAGCCCAGAGCTTCAGTGAGGAAAGGACTAGCGCTGTGGTGGCTGGAGAATGGGAAAACGGGCCTGCAGGGGTCAGGGGGAGGGGGAGATTCTGAGCTGGAATCGTAGCCGGGACAGGCGAGATGGTAAAGGGGCCAAGCCAAGAAGTGTGGATGCTCCTCGGTGGTCAGAGGAGGGGCTCTGGAAGGTTTGTGAGAAGGAAAAACCTCGATTGGGTCTGTCTGACCAGCTGTGGTTGGGGATATGTTATCTCTTCTGAGCCTCAGTTCCCTGATCTGTAAAATGGAGAAAAAATAGAACGGGCCTCTCAGAAGTGTAGATTAAATGAGATAATGATGGCAAATGGTTAGCACTTTTGTGCGCATGTAAACTGCCCGAGAGGGCATTAGTTTTGTCACCGTCCAATATTTTGTTGCCCACGGTCGGGACAAGCGATTTGCCAGCCTGCTTGTGCTGAGAAGCGGCTCTGGAAAGGAGTCAGAGGTCTGGGTTAGGAAGTGTCGCCTTTCCAAGCCTATCTGCCTTTTGACTGTGTGTCTCAGGTCTCTACTACTGAGGAGGCCAATTGATAGAACAGATCGGGCTAGGGAGATGATGTGCATCTGGGAAAGTGTTCATGCCGGAGGTCCAGGCCACTTTACCTCCCTTTGTGCTGGACCCGTTTGCAGGTCTCCAGCTGTGGGGTAGAGGTGATGTTATTCATTCCTGACTCAGTGGCTGGTATGGACTAGCAAGTGAATTTGTCTTCTCAGCTCATCTCATTCTTTTCTCTCTTCCTTTGGCCTCTCCCAAGGATTCTTCGAAAGGAATTGGGTTTAGAATTCTGTCAGATGTATTCCTGGCCTTTTACCTGGCTCTGTAGTCCGAGTCTCCAGTAGTGACAGATTTGTGAATATGGAGTAGTCTTTTTTTTCCTCATTTTTTATTATGGAGAGTTTCAAAGGCACAGCACCTGTCACCTGGCCCCAACAACCGTGAGCCCAGGACCAGTCCTGCTCATCCCTCCCCTGACACAATTTTGAGGCAGATCTTAGACATTATACTATTTCTTCTCTTTCTTTCTTTCTTTTTTTGTGAGGAAGAGTGGCCCTGAGCTAACATCTGTTCTAATCCTCCTCTTTTTGCTTGAGGAAGATTATCCCTGACCTAACATCTGTGACAATCTTCCTCTACTTTGTATGTGGGACGCCACCACAGCATGGCTTGATGAGCAGTGTATAGGTCTACGCCCCGGATCCAAACCTACAAACCCCAGGCCACCGAAGTGGAGTGCTCCAACTCGACCGCCACACCACAGGGCTGGCACCTGACATTGTACTGTTTCAACCATAAATCCTTCAGAATGTGCCTCTAATAGATAAAGATAAGAATACATTGTCACACCCACGTTTACAATGGTGTTTACATTGCTAATTGTCTCATACATTCATCCTTTTTTTTCTTTCAGTTTGCTGAATCGGATCCATATAATGTCCATACATTATAATTGATTGACATGTCTTTCAAATCTCTTTTAATTTATACATTTTCCCTTGATTTCTTTTTCATGTTACAAGTCAATTGTTGAAGAGCTGGGTAATGTGTTTTGTAGAGTTTCCAGCAATCTGGATTTTGCAGAATGTGTCACCATGATGTCTGATGTTCCTTTGTCCCCTGTGTTTTCTCTGAATGGGTAGGTGGATCTGCAGCTGCACTGTGGTAGCCATAGTCACATGTGACTTTAAATTTAAATTAAGAGGGGCCAGCCTGGTGGCTGAGTGGTTAAGTCCACGCACTCTGCTTCGGTAGCCCAAGGTTGCGCTGGTTTGGATCCTGGGCGCAGACATGGCACTGATCATCATGTGTCCCACAGAGCAGAACCAGAAGGACCTACAGCTAGAATATACACCTATGTACTGGGGGGCTTTGGGGAGAAGAATAAAAAAAGAAAGAAGATTGGCAGCAGATGTTAGCTCAGGCACCAATCTTTAAAAAGAAAAAATTTAAATTAAGTAAAAGTAAAAATTAATTTCCTCAGTTGCATGAGCCACATTTCAAGTGCTCAATAGCCATGTGTGACTAGGGGCTACTGTATTGGATGGGACAGATTAGAACATTTCTATCATTGTATTGTTGCAAAAAATTCCATTGGATAACATTGCCCTAGATGCTTGATCAGGTTTATTTTATATTAGCTAAAATCTGTCACAGTAAGGGTTGTCTGTTTCCATCAAGAGACGCATGATGTTTGCTTGTCTCTTTGTGATGTTAGCAGCCATTGATGCTCACGGTCTGAATACTTCAGGGTACCAGGGGTTGCAGAACAGTGATCTTCTATTTCCATCCTTCATTTATTAGCTGACATTCTTCTGTAGAGAAACTCTTCCCCTCATCTGCTATTTGGTTTCCCAGTGAGGCAGTTCATTTAGGAAAGGCAGAATGAGATTCCTGTTATTTACCAGTTTTCAAGGTAATCAGTTGGCTTACCAGAATTCTCTAGTGATGGTCAGTTAGTTTATTTTTAAGTATTGTTGTGAATCATAGATTTAAGTAGTTTTAAAAAAACCTATCCATTTGATATTTGGGA